TTCCAGTATAAAGCTGAAAAAGTTGGCTATACACATGTCAATATTCCCCGAGTGATAGCCTGCCCGGTGTGGCATACATTGGCAGCAGCAAAAGGGTTAAATGTATCAGACATCCGCCATAGGAGCGCGGGAATTCCGGGTCCACGGGCTCGGCGCACCCCGATAAGGACACTTATAGGCAAAAAAAAAAAGTGACAGTTATTTTCAGCTGAGTCCCAATGAGATGTGAAATGACGGTCACATGACCAGATTTGCGCTCCTCCCCCTCCTGTTATAGCTTTGTGAGTCTTCTATGTACTGCACAAAGGAACTTACTGGTCATCTTCGGGGTCCCGTTATCAGTCACGACCACGGTGGCCGCATACTGGAAGTTCACACTCGCCATCTCATAGGAGTCGTAGTTCAGCGTTTTATTGATCTGCACAGAGGAGGGGAAATGTCATAACGAGGATAAAGAGACCGCCAAAGTGCGAACGCAGAGAGCCCCGCCCCCAGTATACCAGCCCGCCTCCTGTTATAAAGAATCTTACGCGTGGGCGGGCCACATGCAAATGAGGGCAGCCTAGGAACGCCCACTCCTCCAGACTGACACACCCACCCACCCATCAAGGCATTCTGATATTTGCATAACTCCTCCCAAGAGCCCGCCCACTGCTTGCATCAGGGCTGAGGGCTCTTGAGAGGAGTACTAGGCAGGGTGCTGGGATGTTTTCAGGAAGCTATGTACAGCCCTCTGCTGGCCCCTCCCACCAGCCATGATCTGCCTGCAGTGCATAGAGAAGCACCGAGACTAAAACAAGGAATGTCATGAAATCTTCAGTCTGTCCTCACCTGCAGGTCAGAGCCCACCATGCGGAAGGAGTACAGGGAGTTGGCGTTGGAAGTTATGGAATAGGTGAGGCCGGTGCTGTTGTAATCCGGATCTGTACATACCAAATTCGCTAAACTTTGTCCAAGCGGAGCGGTCTGCGGAACCTCAGTCCTGGTCATGGAGGAGAACAAGGGGTTAATCTGTATGTATGGACTCTGCACAGTACCACTTCCCTTATCCTGTATGCCGGGTGTCATTCTCGGTACCTGTATGTATGGACTCAGCACAGTACCACTTCCCTTGTCCCGTATGCCGGGTGTCATTCTCGGTACCTGTATGTATGGACTCTGCACAGTACCACTTCCCTTATCCTGTATGCCGGGTGTCATTCTCGGTACCTGTATGTATGGACTCTGCACAGTACCACTTCTCGTGTGTTTTGCATTGGTTGGTGTTGCGGTGTTGGTTGTGTCATGTGATCTGAGTGTTCCCTACTTACACCACGATGGCGGGGCTGCACCGCGGGGCGATGTTGTTGACGTCGGTGACGGTGATTGTCACCGTGGCGGTGGCGCTGTCAGTGTGCTGGCTGCGGTTGTAGGCTCGGACCTCCAGGACGGTGGTGCGCAGGGAGGGGTTGGCGTCTAGGTCCAGGTTAAACGTCGTTTTGATCATCCCGGACGCTGAAAGACAGAAGGCGGCGTGCGGTCACATGGGGGGGTCGTTACCGAGAATCACCGACATACCGGACTGGGAGGAGACTCTCCGCACTGCAGGAAGTGTCGTCACCCGTCAGACCCGACTGCCACTTTCCTGACACCGCCAACATACAGCCATCGCCTCTTCCTGCACTGCTCCCCGATGCCCCCGGACACCCCCACAGTCTACGTCATCTTCATCCTCCTCTATATCTCCCCTCCGGCCTCACTCACCAATCGTCTACATTCCCATCATAGTCCGAGGCGTCGCTATACTATTCAGCTAAAGATTGTTATCGGCTTGTCTCTCCCCTCCTTCCGTGTTTTGCATTAACTGTAGAGAATTGAAGCTGGGCCTGTAGAGGGCGCTATCACTGGCTCAGTGCTATCACTATCAGTGCTCCCCCTCTGTGTCTGTGTCAGGGACCAGGACAGCACCAGGTGGCACCGTGGAGCTGCAGCAGATCCAGCAGTTCCAGTGCTCACCTGCAGGTGTCTCTGGGCAGTCAGTGGCTGCCTGGGACTTGAGCACCTCCAGGTGGCACTGCCAGGCTGGCACAGAAGCTGAAGCAGGCCGGACTGGCACAGAGGCTGGAGAAGGCCGGGTTGGCACAGAAGCTGAAGCAGGCCGGACTGGCACAGAAGCTGGAGAAGGCCGGGTTGGCACAGAGGCTGGAGAAGGCCGGGCTGGCACAGAAGCTGGAGAAGGCCGGGCTGGCACAGAAGCTGGAGAAGGCCGGGCTGGCACAGAAGCTGGAGAAGGCCGGGCTGGCACAGAAGCTGGAGAAGGCCGGGCTGGCACAGAAGCTGGAGAAGGCCGGGCTGGCACAGAAGCTGGAGAAGGCCGGGCTGGCACAGAAGCTGGAGCAGGCCGGGCTGGCACAGAAGCTGGAGAAGGCCGGGCTGGCACAGAAGCTGGAGAAGGCCGGGTTGGCACAGAAGCTGGAGAAGGCCGGGCTGGCGCAGAAGCTGGAGCAGGCCGGGCTGGCGCAGAAGCTGGAGAAGGCCGGGCTGGCACAGAAGCCGGAGAAGGCCGGGCTGGCACAGAAGCTGGAGAAGACCGGGTCGGCACAGAAGCTGGAGCAGGCCGGGCTGGCACAGAGGCTGGAGAAGGCCAGGTTGGCACAGAAGCTGGAGCAGGCCGGGCTGGCGCAGAAGCTGGAGAAGGCCGGGTTGGCACAGAGGCTGGAGAAGGCCAGGTTGGCACAGAAGCTGGAGAAGGCCGGGCTGGCACAGAAGCTGGAGAAGGCCGGGCTGGCACAGAAGCTGGAGAAGGCCGGGCTGGCACAGAAGCTGGAGAAGGCCGGGCTGGCTGGGCTGGCACAGAAGCAGCCTGCGTCTGTGCTAGCCCGTCCAGCTTCTGTGCCAGCCCGGCCTGCTCCAGCTTCTGTGCCAACCCGGCCTGCTCCAGCTTCTGTGCCAACCCGGCCTGCTCCAGCTTCTGTGCCAACCCGGCCTGCTCCAGCTTCTGTGCCAGTCCGGCCTGCTTCCTGGAGGTGTCCTGGTCCCTGACAGTCCAGCTGAGCTTGGCTCTCGGGATTGCACGGTCAGTCGGTCGGTCGGTTGGCGGTCGGACCTACCTGGTTCGATGTAGTAGGCGGTGCTGGGGTTGACCAGCTCGTACAGAACGCTAATCCCATTCGCCTTCACAGTGGTCACCGAATTTCCGGGTCCGCCGTTCTCCGGGATGGTGACACTATACGAAGATGACCTGAGAGGGGTGACACCGGTACGCGATCAGAAGGCGGTCCACGTACAGAAACACACCTGATGCATTGTAGAGGAGTTGTCCTTGGACACAGTTATCTGGATTCCGGGTTGAAGCTTCCCCGCGCCAAAAGATTTCCCGCAGTCCCCCAAACAGATGTGAGATTGGAGCGCCGCACCGAAGATTACCAGGACAGATATACATTTATTCCAACTCGGGATCAGGTAAAAGGACTTTATCACAACGCGTTTCGAGATTAGGGAACGCCCCCCTCCCCCTTCATCAGGGCTTGAAAATGGAAACCGGAGTGGAATAGGAATGCAACTATACGCTATATCTTTCACCCAAAGAAGCAAACTAATAATGTGGCCAAAATAAACCAAATGTGACAGTGAAACCATTACTTCTGTGAATGAATGTTACAATCCAGTCTTCTGATCACCCCCCTGTGAATATCAGAGATGATTGGCTATAGTAATAAATAGGGATGCACCGATACTAGCACATGATGGCCACCCCCACCCCCCTCCCCCTTC